AGTAACGTGTTAAGATAAATTTCGAATCTCATTTCGATTTTTTTCTAACCAGAAATTGAGAAAATTTTCTAAACGCATTGTTCGATTTTTTTCAAATAAGCTATTAAGAAAAATTTCAAAACTGTGTTCGATTTTTTCAGTAACATGTTAAGAAAAATTTCGACTTTTTTCTAACCAAAAATTGAGAGAAATTCCTAAAAAGTATTTGGTTTTTTTCAAATAAAAAGTTAAGAAAAATGTCAAAATTTTATTTGATTTATTCTTAACATAAAGTATAAGGAAAATTAAAGATTTACTTTTAAAAACTATAATGAAAAGATAAAAGTAGGCTTAAAAAATTGAAATAAATATATTTAATCAAAGTTTACTAATTTTCAATTTGTTAGCCCCCTTTTTTCCTTTATTAGTTTTTAAGTACTTATTAGTTTTAGGGATTGTTATTAGATATATGATAGAATTATAATAATTTACAAATAAATATAATTTTATTGAATAAATCAATCTAAAATTTTTTACAAAATAATAAGTAGTCTATTACAATAATAACTTTAAATTATAGTTGTTCATCTTGTAACTACATACGACACAATAACTTCCAGAAAAGTTTTTTAATATTTTTTAAACATAAAATTATATTATTCTTAATCCAAGAATTCATCAGTTCACATCTCATCACACACTTCACATCACTTCACAATGAAATTTATTACTTACAACACTAACTTACTCGAGAATTTAATACATACCTCTTCGGCAAATGCTGAAGAGCAACTGAGGATTGAAAGTCTTTTCAAAGAAAAGTTTTCAGAAAATATTTAAAATTTCGAAAAATTTCGAAAATTATAGAAACATTTTCTCTATAAATTTCAAAACAAAAAAAAATTCACAAACTTTCAATCTGGATACATCTATGAAAAAAAACTGGTACCGAAAACGTCATAAAATAGTCCCTCTTACAATAGAAAACCTTTGTAGCTGGTCAATATGAGCCAAACCAAATGTGACAAACTATTCAAAAAGACAAAATACTTTGAACATAAGAAAAAATTTTTCAATCCTTACTTCATAAAAAAAATATTTCACGATATATAATAATACTTTATGAAATTAAATAATTTATAATAATGTTTATTTATAATAAAATAGAAAAAATTAAATTTTAATTGCTTATTTAATAAAAGGTTTTTATAATACTTTTCAAAAATGATAATCTATTCTTAAATATAATTAACAAATTATTATATATTGTTCTTATTGTTTAATAATTATTATTTACTATTCTTATTATCTAAGCACCACGTAATATTACCTGAATATCATGATAAAATTTGTTAAAAATATTTCAGTGATATCTAGTAATAATTCACTAATATTAAAATTCTTGTTATTAAATAAATGAATAAGCAATAATTAAAGTCTTTATATTCTTAAGAAAATTTTCTAGATTTTGTTAGTAAAATATCTCATTTCAGTAGAAAAATATAATTATTTTTTAGAAAATTAAATTTCGCAACAAAACTAGAAATTTTCTCAAAACGGTCTGCTATAATTCATATTTAGTTAAGAAAAAATTCGAATTCGTGTAGAAAAATTTCTTTCATTTTTCGAAAATCATTTAATCTTACTGACTTTTCGAAATTTTTCGTAACAGTTTCGAAATTATTCTACACTTTTCGAAAAATATCGAAATTTGTGTAGAAAAATCGTTTTCTTAACGTTTTTCGAACTATTTCGAACTATTTCATAAGGAAAATTTCCAAAAAATTTTACAGTGTACCCTGGTTATAATATCGGACTGATTTCGGACTAATCCGAGATTAGTCCGAAACAATGCGGTTTATATTCAGGTTTTTGTCACCCGGAATTAGTCCGGTTAAGTCAGAAAACAATACTATTCGTGAATACTTATTCAATCCAAATACAGTTTGGTCTAATACGGAATTAGTCCGATTGTTCGCAACTAGTGAACCTGAGATTAAGCCGGTCAAATCCGGAACTAATCAGTTATTTCTTACTAGTAAATCCGGAACAATTCCGAAAGAATCTGATTTATGATCAGGTTTTTGTCATCCGGAATAAGTCTAGTTAAAACTGAAATCAATTCGGCATAAGTATAATTGTGAATCCGGAATCAGTTTGATCCAATCCGGAATTATTGTAATTTCAGATTGATGCGGACTGAAATCGGATTTTTCACATACTAAATTCGAATTGTTCCGTTTTCATTTTGAGCTTGTATTTTTGAACTGAAATAATTTCGGATCGTTGCGGACTGTTTGCGAATATTGTTCATACAATTTCCATATTATTTCACTGTTATGTCAGATTAATTTATTTTTACGTACTGAATTCGAAATGAAGCGGATTATTTTCTTATTTTTCCCATACAATATTTGTATTTTTCCTTATTAATTGCTGATTAGTTTTTTTCTGATTTGTATTTGGATTGTTTCGGACTGATTGCGGTCTGATTTCATAGTCAGTCCAGATTAATGCGGTCCGATTTTTGATTATTTGTCGTTTTGTTCAGTCTGATTTTAAACTAATGCGGATCACTTGCGTAATTATTTTGTACAGTTTTCTCACTTATCCAGTCTAATCTCTACGATATTAATACGAAATCAATCCGACTTTTTTACCAGAGTACTTTGGAAATTTAACATCTTATTATTAAAATTGGTTGTAGCTTTTTACGAACGGGTGATTTCCTCTAGCCATAGCCGAGCACAGGCAATATCATAAAAAAAGGATCGACTCGACTCTGCTTAGCACATGGGCTTCATTGACAAAAGATGCAAAAAAGTGAAAGTTTCCAATATTTAAAAATGTGAGAAAATTATTTTCGTCATGAATCTTTAACTTTTCATTTGAACAAATATGAATATGAGATTTAAATTTAAACTATGAATAAGTGACATGTTAAGAGTTGACTCATAATTTAAACTTTTACCTTATGATTTTTGTTTTAGATACGTAATTAAAATTTTTCATAGAAATTTGTTTCTTATTAAAATAAAAATTTTAGACTAGTTGAACTTGATTCAACAGTTCTACTTTATTATGATATTTTTATCAAAATAATGAATCTAAAATTTGGTTCACTAACAAACGATACTAAATCCATGAACTTTTTCTTCATAATATGAAATTCTGCGGAAGTAAAGAGTAATAGAAGAACGATGACGACTCATGGCTCCAACGTGGGGCGCCAAATGTTTTCATGCTTATTAGATACTTGGACTAGAAGGGGAGTTTGATAAACAACTATGGATATATAGTTTCCTATCACTGGAGTAAACATACCCTCCATATAGACCAGTAGACTCCACAAAGACTGAGATCTACACTCCACGCTACGTTTAGTATCATTACGCTTGAATTGATACTCGGACACTTTTCATGCGACTCCTTTTTTTCAGATCAAATATACGCTCGAGCTTTTGGAGATTGATGCTAATACAAAGGGCGGTATTTAACGTTCTTTGAAACAACACATTTCATTTATTAAAGATTTTTCACATTTACAGAAGCAAATAACAAATTTTTCTCTTTTTATCACGGGGAGGTTCAAATACTACATATTTAAATTCTACACGTAAAATTCTACAAAGTTAAATTCAACACCGTTAAAATCTTCACAAATTTAATTTATAATATAAAAAAAATTTGTTAAACTCTACACAATTAAAATGCACACCAGTTAAACTCTAGAGAAACTAATCTTATAATATAAATTTATTTTTATTAAATTCTACACCGTTAAACTCTTTACAAAATTATTTTATAATAGAAAATAAAATTTCTTAAACTTTACACAGCACAGTTAAATTGACTCCTTGTTAAACTCCACACAATTTATTTTTTAAATTCTACACAGTTAAAATCCACACCGCTAAACTCTACACAAAATTTTAACTGTGTAGAATTTAAAAAATAAATTGTGTAGAGTTTAACAAGGAGTCAGTTTAAATGTGTAAAGTTTAACAAATTTTATTGTCCATTATAAAATAAAGTGATGTTTAATGGTGTGGAATTTAACTATGTAGAATTTAACAAAATGAATTTTTCTTATTGCGAAATAAATTTGTGTAGAGTTTAACGGTGTGCAATTTAAATGTGCCCTATTAAAAATCCTATATAAGATCTTACATGGTATCCTATATGAAATCTCATTAAAAAACTCATATGAAATTCCAGGTTGATTATAGGAATGCATATGGAAATCCATAAAAAACCGTATGTAAAATTGGGACACGATTTTGAGTATGAATTGATGTGGGAATTTGCATTTGTATTTCCTATACATAGGAATTCATGTGGATTCTTATCTAATTTCTTACATTTTTTTTATCAATTTCCCATGTCAGTTTCCTTTATAATTACCTACATTAAATCTTATAAAAAATATCATATGAAATCTTAAAGTTTTCTTTATATAAAATTTTACATAAATGCAGATTCTGAAATATCAACCTAAGATTTCACATGGATTTATGTAAAGGAAACAATATAGGATTTCATATGGGAATTTTCAGTTGGTTGCTTTATGCAGATGGAATTTTTCAAAAAATTAAAAACTATTTAATTAAAAATCAAATAATATTACTGCAATTCATCTGAAAATAAAAAAATTTGTGCTTTGCAATACACCTTCTGAGTTAATGTCTCAGCTTTTATAGTATTCAAGATTGATGTCAACTTTGAGAGATAAAATTATCACTATCTGGCGGCGTAAGTATGGAACTATGATGATCTACATTTATATTGAAATTTCCTATATAACGCTTGAATCACATAAAAAATGCGATTATTGAACTTAAAACTACAATAATAATAATAATCATTTTTTTGTTGCGTATTTTTATTGCCTCTGTAAACTCCGTCTCCATTTAAAATGATGGATTTTCAAAACTTAGGATAAAATCGACCTACTAGCTGGTTAGAGGCAGCAAACCTGTATGTACACGGAAAAAAATTTTCTGGTAATTCTTTAACATCGATTTAGAGATTTTACATGTTCCTAAATCTGTTAATTCTACAGATATTTTCTGTAAGGATTTAACGCATGCGCAAAAACAATGCAGTGATTCGACTAAGGCTGAGTACGATTGAGTGCGAGAGGTTAAGGCGAATTTAGTGTTTTTATTATTATCATAGTGTCGGCAAGAAAGTGTATTTATATATTTTTTGTTTAAATTATAATACATATTATATTGATTAATAGTTTTTCAATTTGGACATATTTGTTCAAAGTCATTTAAAAGAATGGAATTGTCTGATTTAATTGAGACATTTAAACGTAAGTATATTTTCTGTCATTTCTTAACATAACCTCAAATACGATTTATTTGCAGATTTTTTTTTATTTTATGTATTTGTCTAATTTAATTTATTAATTATACTTCAATTTATTATTTGTAGAACATAAAATTGATTCAGTAAATTTATTTTATTTAACTTCGGAAAATATAAATACATTAATACCAGAAATTGGCGACCAATGCACTTTCATAAGGCATCGGGAAATTTTAGAAAAAAGAAATAAAGAAAAATCAAATTCGCACAATGTTTCTGATGAGAAAAGTTTTGAGGACAGAAACCAGAATTATTATTCTTCGTTGGCTGATATTAATTTAGAAATTTCAACAAGACAAAATATTTTATTAGATGATATCCCAATTAACATTTCGGGAGCTGATATTTTAGATTTGACGTCAAGTAAACATTTGTTCAGCGTTTTGACATTTCAATTGATTTAATTTAATTCTTTTCATATGTGTTATTTTTAGATTCAGTGTTCACATTACTTAATTCAAATTTTCGAGGAAGAATAATTTTAGCTTATTATAAAAGCAAGAAACAAGTTTTGGATGTAGAACTCAGTTCAATTATAATAGAAAATGAATTCGAAATGTGCGAAAATTGTTTAGATTTAACTTTCAGGATAAAACGAGAGAAATTTCTTAAATTAAGAAGTGAAATTAAAGAAATTTTTCCTACTGAATTGCCCGAAGCCTGGTACATGCCATTAACACAAGGTTCTAATGGAGAGAGCATTAATCCTCGAGGTAAATTATATAATAAATATAACGAAAAGAGAAGACTTTTAAACGAAATAAATTATATAAAAAAAAATCAAAAGGGAAACAAAATTTGGAAAGTGAGATCTCTATAGAAGGTACGTACTTTTTATATAAATTCTTATTTTTCTTTAAGCAGAGTCTACAATGAGAGAGGGTGCGCACCGATATTCATAGCTATAGGTATACTGAAGTATGCTTTAGAATATTTATAACTAGGGACATCGGTGCGCACTCACTCTCATTGTAGACTCTGCTTTAAAGAAAGACATAAGAAAATTTGAACAAAATTTGTAATTTATTAATTATTCAATTTAGTATTATCCAACGATGACATATCAGTTGCTTTACACTTTCTAAAAAACAATTTAGAGCCGGAAAATATTTTACTAAGTGCATGGAATGCAACTAGAGAAGTCCGTTTAAATTTAAAAAAATTAAGCATTAAAGAGTATTATGATACGTTTAAATGCTTACAAGGAATTTTGGCATTCAACTGGTAAGTAAAATTAATTTTTAAAAAACACAATAAAAATATCTATTGCAGTAAAATTGATTTATTTTTCAGCTTCTGCATGATTTTGATTCCATTTATGGAATAAATAGTGGAAAATTCCTACTAAACTGGTCCACAGTCGCAAAAAAAATTATTGATCTATCAAAAAAGAAAGGAAATACCAAACAGCATGCTGAAATTGCTGAAATATTAGAAAAAAACAAAAATTTAATCGGCCAAGGTAAAATGAAAGGAATTTTCATCTTTCAATCATAAATAAAATTCTTTTTTGTCTTTATTTGAAAATGTTACTTAAAAAATAATTATAATTTGTTGAAAAATAGTCATTTAAATTTTATTGCGGTATAAATTATTTACTTAAATTAATTAATTTTTGTTTAACTTAAAAATTCTTTTGTTTATGTAGGTAAAATAGAGTTAGTTGCACTTATTGTTCTACCATACTTAATAGGATCGTCTTATCGCAAAATGAAGAAGAATGCCAATTGGACTCCTACTAAGCATGATGTTCTTGATTCCTTCTTGCTTCACATTGAGGTAGTAAATTATAAAATTTATTCTATTCAACTCCCACTTTTCTAAATTATTTTTTCTAAAAAATTTTTTTTAGACGTACGAGGATTTGACACCATATCAAGAAAAAAAGAGAGAAATTTACGCAAGCGAAAATTTAACTTTTCAACCGTATCCAGTCTTATGTGGTCCTTTTGAAGAAATTAATTGCTCATTTATTGTCATTATAAATGAAACGTCATATTTGGTTGACTCGCCCTTAAAAGCAATCGATACTTGTTTAAAAGTTTTTTTCGCTCTTAATGCCAGCTATCCTATTGAAAGCGCTGGATGCTGGATTTTTCTACAAAAATTCGTTTATAATATTTCAGTAGAGAAAGAGGACTCAGCTGTAAATAAATTAATTACTCAGCTGCAGTAAAATTTCAACATTCAGTTTTGATTTTAAAGTTCAGTTAGTAGAAAATAAGAATTTTTTGTGATACTACTGATAACTATGGAGAAAAATATTATATTATATGAAAACATTAGTAAGTTAGTACGTTTTTGAGACTGTCTATATTTATTATATTCGTTTTATTTTATCTTTATTTGTTTTAAAGAAAATACATAATCTAAAAAATGGCGAGTCAAAAGAAAATGATTGACATAAAACAAGAAATTTTAAAACTGACATTAGAACTTTACAATTCATCCATTCCCAGAAATGTTGTTCAAACTTTTGTTGAAAAAATGTCTGAAACATTAGAACAATCTTATATACCATACTTGAAGCAAGAGGTGGAAAAAAATCTCCAACATTGTCCTAAGTCAATCGTAAACTCAATTACGGAAGTTTTTGATAAAAATAAAAATCCATTCAAAGATGTATCGACAGAGTATTTACGTTTCGAATTACTCTCTAAATTTGAATCAGCGGAATCTCGCTGATTCTCAGCTATAAGTATACCACTGATTCTAATCAGCTTATATGCACTGATGAATTAGTGGAATTTCACTGATTTTTCAGTGTATATCCGCTGATTCGTACCAGTGGTATACTTATCGCTGATTCAAATTTAGAGAGTATACAAAAAAGAGGCTTTGTATGTATCTCCAAAAGAATATGTTATTGGACAAACTAAAATGCGAAAACGTGTTAAGAGAATAATTATTCAACAAACCGTTTTTGTGAAGGGAATTCATATTCCATTAGTTGATAGTTTAACAAGATTTTTTAATTTACCTGGTGTTTTAAATGAAACATTATCTTACGTAAAAATTTTACAAAATGAAGATAAAATTTTCTCGAATTTTATACAGTGCGGTCTCGTAACTGCAACATTCTCTGAAATTTCCCACTCTTTCGGACTTGATACTGCAACATATCCCACTACCTACCATTTCAGGGACGTACATACCTACTATACGCGAGAAAATTTAAGACCCCTGAAAAACGGACTACTTTCATACTTTCACTTTGAAACTATATATTATTATATATTATTTATATTTTCATTACTAATATGTTTTTTTATATAGTGAATTAAGTAAAGTTTTACATTGAATTAATATTTAATTATTTATTAATACTTACTATTGATGGCAATTATACTTTTTATCCAAAATTTGAGTCACTTTTTGCGCACAAGTTATATTTCATAAAATTTTTTCAATAATTCCTAAAATTTACCGGACATCCAAACTATTCCGATTTGAAACAGTCACTGAAACTGCTTCATCATTCAATGAAAACACTTTTCATTTGTGTGTATTGAAATCTATTAAGAGGTGTTTATATTTTCAAATATATGTATTATTATTATTTATTAATTACTACGCAGAAGATGAATATCAAATCCAATTTGCATATTATATATCACTAATATTTTAAAAATGACACCAAACTTTTATATTTATATGAAACATTTAATAATTACATAATTAAATTTTAATTATATTTTTATAATTATTTATATATTTATTTACTTTATATATTTTATAATTTATTTTATTTATCAATTTTATTTTAAATTTTAATTATAAAACAATTTTAGAGTTTTTTTTCATTTTTATTTATGAATACTTGATATTCATTTTCCGCTGTAGATACGGCACTGAAAGCTGCCGACGTCACGTTTCAGTTTCAAGTCCGGTGGTCGAGGTGGGGTGTTGCAGTAACGAAACTGTTGCAGTTTCAAATGTTGCAGTTACGAGACCGCACTGTACAAGGCTCACTGTGGAAAAACAGATGTACAATAGACAATCGTTTGGAGTTACCGATTTTTCTTTTCTTCGATGATTTTGAGACTGGCAACGCTTTAGGGTCACACGCAGGGAAAAATAAACTTGGTGCAATTTATGCATCAATACCCTGTCTACCACCACGTCTTGTGTCTAAACTTAAATGTATTTTCGCAACATTACTTTTTCGATCAAAACACAGAAGTCAGTTTCAAAATTATTGTATATTAAAACCACTTTTATTCGAATTGGATTATCTTTACAAAGAAGGGATCGTTTTTAAAATTGATGGAATCGAACGACGTATCTATTTTCGTTTAGCTTTAGTTCTTGGCGATAACTTAGGGCTTAATAGCATTTTTGGATTCGTGGAATCATTCTCAGCAAAATATTCATGTCGAATATGTCACGTAGAATCATCTGTTTCAAAACATCTTACAAAAGAAAATTCAAATCTTTTGAGAACAAAAGAGTCATACGAGAATGATTTAAAGATAGGTAACTATATTCATTAACTGGTATAAAATATTTATGTTGTTTTCCCGGTGTAGCTAATTTTCACCTAACAATTAACAAATCTGTTGACATCATGCATGATATTTTCGAGGGTGTAGCATATTACGTGATTGTTCGAATTTTACATAAATTTATATATGTCGATGAATTTTTTAAGTTGTCGCTTTTAAATGAAAGGATTGAATGTTTTAACTATGGGGATGTAGAAAGTGCAAACAAACCAATGCCTATTGCGGAAGATCGTCTTAAATCAAAATCGAAATTAAAAATGTCAGCCTCTGAAATGGCATGTTTTATTCGTTACTTAGGAGTAATGATTGGAGATTTAGTTCCACGCGGAAATGAATGTTGGGAATTATATTTAAAACTGAGACAAATAGTAGATATTGTTACTGCTCCTAGACTCCTTCGAAGTGATGTTCATGTACTGAGAGAATTAATAAGTGAACATCATTCCCTATATATCAAGCTTTTCGAACATTTAACACCTAAATTCCACAACATGACTCATTTTCCAGAAATTTTTCTACAGGATGGTCCATTGGTTCATTTATGGTCAATACGGTTTGAATCGAAAAACAAAGAATTAAAACAAACTGCTACATCAACCCATTGCAAGAAAAATATTTTAAAAACCATTGCCATGAAGCACCAGTTGCTAATAGCACAGCTTAATTATACTTCGATTATTGACGACGACATAAAAGTAGGCCCTCGTGAAATGTCTTGTGGCTCTCATCGTTTATCAAATGAAATAAGTGTTAATTATGTTAAAATAGAAGGAATTAAATATAAAAGCGGAATGGTTATTTTAATTGAAATAACCGAAGATTTACCTCAGTTTGGACAAATTGAGAAAATTCTTGTTTCCGCCAAAGAAATTAAATTTTTAATGTATTCTTTAAATACAATAGCTTTTGATTCGCATTATCATGCTTACCAAGTCTCAGAAAGTTTAAGTCCGGTTTTGTCAAAAGATATAAAATGTATGGGTAGAATGTGTTTTAACCAAAAAAAAGACGGGTTTGTACATTTCAACACGATATGCTCTTTAACTGAAAGCTCAGTTTAATAGAAATTCTATAATTGTTTCAGAAAATGTTTATAAATTTGAAAAATAAAACACTTCTAAATTCTTATTTCTAATCATTATTAATTAAAACCTATAAATATAAATTATGAATTTTCTATATCAGTTTCTATAACTAAAATAAAATTGAAAATGTTCTACAAATTCTAAATGTTTTTATGAATTTCAGTAGTAATTTTAAGGAATTTAAAGATCACTAAAATGATTTCCTTTCTTTGAACTTTCTGAACTTCTGACATATAATTAAAACAAAAAAGTAATTTCAGAAATTCAATTAAAAATAAATTGCTTTTTTTGAATAATAAAAATTGTTTTCCACTGAAAAAAAATTTATTTGATTCAAATAATATTCGATTACTTGACTATTATTAAATACATATTCACTTGAACCAAATAACTTTCATTTAAATTACATAATCTGTATTTAAAACAAATACCATATAATTGAAAATAGTTAAGTATATTTGAATGAAATATATTTTTTTCAGTATCGGACACAAAATTGTATGAAAGTAGAATATAGATTGAAAAAATTAAAACAATTGTGTCGTTATAATCAAACAAAAAATGTATTTGTATGTATGTTTTCAAAAGCTGATAATTCCATTTTTCAAATAAATTGAGATAAATATAAATTAAATATATTATTGACCTCACAAAACGACCTATCATAGTTAAATGTAACAGCAACATTTTTTTAATAACGAATTTTCAATTTAAAAATTTTTGACATAACCCAGATGACTTAAAATTTTTAAGTTTGTTATTATAAAAAATTACCATAACTTTTCAATCATTTAATTGTTATAAAGTTTAATTTAAAAGGAAACGTCTTAAGTATATAAACATTATTATAGAAATAAATTATTACAAATTTTTTATTTTGAAATTTACTGTAGTGATTAAGTGAGAAAAGTCGTTTGTTTCAATTTCTCGACATAAGAAAAAGTGGATTTATCATAAGTTTTGAAAACTTGCTCCTCATTTTTTTTGTTAGAAAATTATTGAAGGATGAATTTATTTACATAGAAGTTATACTAATTTATACAATAATGTTCCGCGAATTTAATGTAGTCGGAGGAGAATATAACCTATAAGAAATACCGTAAAATGGGGTAAAGTCGGCGTTTGAGGGTAAAGTCGGCCGGCGCTTTAAATCATTTTAAAGTTTAACTATTACTTTTTTCCAGAAGAAATCCGAGTTTTATTAAAAATGTAGTTAGAATTAATGTAAATTAATAAATGAAATACAATATTCAAGTGTTTAAAGCGCCGGCCGACTTTACCCGCAAACGCCGACTTTACCTCATTTTACGGTACTCTACCAAATATATATTATCCCCATATAGTATACATAATTTGGTCACTCAACAGTTTTTAAGAACTGTAGCTCAAACTTGTAGAATTAACAGATTTTAATGCCAATGATTCTACATATTTCTCTATTTGGAGAAACATCAGTAGATGGCGCAGGAGTTTCTGTAAATTCTACAGAAAATTTTTTTCCGTGTAAATATGTACCAAAACAATTTTCTTCGGCTTGTAAACTCCGGCTCCTGTTTCTATATTTTATGCTCAGGTATGTATAACGCGCAAAGGCTATGCCCTTTGGTTTTATCTTTGTCAAAATACTTTATTTACAATTAAATATGAATATAAAAACTAATAACTACATTTTAATAAAACAATTTTCTGTATATAAGTTAGATAAATGATTAAAATATTTTCAATTTATAAGAATTCAATTTCGAAAGAGCAATGCATAATAGTGGAATTCGTCCACTACTGATTGTCCACTGAACTGTCAGCAGTTCACAAACGAAGTCATGTAGACGTTCGTTTTCAATATTTAATCTAATTGTAGTTTATTTTAAGTTATGTAATTAATTATTTTATTATAATAATAATATTAACATTAATTGCAGCTTCAAATTGATAAATTGGCTAAAGTTTTATTTAAAGCAAAGGTATGTACTTAAATGGGTAAATTTAGAGGTTATGTTTTTATTATAGTTTTGTCAATTTATGTATGTAATGAATTTTTTAAATAATGTTTTATGTTTATCAGATATGGTGAAAGAAAAATACTACTGTTGCTATAAGTTTACAATATTTATTAATTATTTAAAAATAAATATTTGATTTGAAACTACATATCCCAACATTTGTATTCAAAATTGAGTAGCTCAGTTCTAGTATAGGAAAGCTAAATTCCATAATTCCTCAC